CAGCTAAAGGAGTCGGTGTTGTGTGCAGTGGGTTAGGCTGCCTGTGACAACCTATGGGCACAGGTTCAAGTCCCAACTGCTTCAGTTCCGATCCCACTCCCTGCTAATGCACCTGGGAAAGCAGGGGAAGATGGCCCAAGTGCTTGGGCCCCTGCACCCACATGGGAGACCCCTGAAGCTCCTGGATCCCTGCTTCAGCCTGACCCAGCCCCAGCCATTGTGACCATTTGGGGAGTGGACCTGTGATAGAGGATCTCCCTCCCTCTCTCTGTAACTCTGTCTTTCAAATAAACAAATTTTATTAAAAGAATGCAGCTAAAGTGCCTGTGCCATACATTTTTCTGAGAATCAAGTTCATTAATACATGTAAATGTAGATATGTTGCAAGGTGTCTGACGCGTAACAAATCTTCCCAGGCAGACGAATCGAATAATTCACAGGCTTTTATTGGGGTTCTGCTCCCGGGCGAGGTGTCCACGCACCCCCCCCCCCCCCCCGTCCCAACAGAGCAATGGAGCTGGGGCCGGGGAAGTCGCGCGTCAGAGATTGGGAGAGCCCCTTTTGTAGATTCAGGGCATGGGGGTTAAAGGTTGAGGCGGGTCTGATCCTCATTGGTTGATCTTTAGGCACCGGGCACCCGCAGGGACCTTGACAAGGACTTTCTTCCTGGGAAGTAGGCCTCTATTCCCGGAAGTGTAGGCCTTCCCTCCTTGCGGGTCCCAAAGCTGCTATATGTAATATTAAATACATGCACTATTAATATGTCAGATTTTCCAAAGAAACACCGAAAAATATTTTTTAGAGTTTTTATGGAAATAGTGATTAAACTTATCAAATATTAATTTGATTATCTAACGTATGATGTTCATTGATTCCTGGTAGAGAATCATCTTTGGACTTTTTTTAAAAACACTTCCTTGGCCTTGATTAATTATGTTTTTGAAATATTTCCACACTTCATCTGGTGTCATTTTCCTTAAAGAATTTTCATCTATAATTGAGAGTCCCTATACAGCTTTCTTTTCATGGCATCCTTGTGAAGTTTTGCTACCAACAACACTTTAGCATCATAAAAGGAGCGGGAGAGTCAGAAATGTTTTTCTCATTGTCCAACCTAGTTTCAATAGTCTTAAGATATTCAGATTTTTTAAAAGGAACACAGAACTACCTTGGTGGTCCTGTGCCTTTTTTGATGCCGATTTTGTTCAAAGAATAACAACCATAGAAGCTTCAGTTGTATTGTTTTAGACAACTCTCAGAAGCTCTTTATTAAGCAGTTAATTAATTTTTTACTTGAAAGGCAGAGTGACAGAGAGAAGGAGAGACAGGGAGAGAGCTTCCTTGCGCTGGTTTACTCCCCAAATGACTGTAACAGCGAGGGCTGGGCCAGGCCCCACATACTTTCTGATCACAGATTTAACTCTCCAGTAAATAAAGAATTCAATACTGTACCTCAAGAGTGTGGACAAAGGCTTTGTACAATAATCAAATCTCAAAATGTCAATTTTGTTCATATACATTACTTTTTTTTGTACTCTGTATATTAGTTACCACATTTGTCTTTTGGGGACTGGCTTATTTCACCAAGTAAGCATAATGGTCTTCAGTTGCATCCATTTTGCTGCAAAAAACAGGATTTCATTTCATTCCTTTTATGGCTGAGTAGTATCCCATCACGTAATAAACCACAATGTCTGTAACCTGTCACCAGCTGATGCACAGCCGTGTTGATTCCGTATCTTAGCTATTGTGACCCAGTTCATTTAACAACAGGGATCCACTAACCTTTCTGAGGCTGGAAAACAAGACTATTAGGGAGAAGGAGAAGGAAAAGAGAAGATCAATCCTTAGAGCACGTGCTAGGCTTGTGCTGGGCCCCCCCAGGCCCTCACCAGTGATTCCTGACCAGTGAAACACCACCGGATGACTGATCAAGTCTCACCCCAGACACTGCTCTAAGACTGTTATCATCCCAGGCCAGTCATCCTCCACCTTGAGACTGTTCCCTGTATACTCCTTAAGTGACAAAGACAGAATACCTGACACAAAGGCACACATGGGCTTATATTAATTGCAGTTCAAATTCAAACACCTACTTTAGCCCAGCAAATCCAGCTACAAAGCGATCAAAAACTGGTAACTCAGGAGGCCGGCGTCGTGGCAGCATGCGAGTGCTGGTTTGTGTCCAGGCTGCTCTACTTCTGATCCAGCTCCCTACTAACGTGCCTGAGAAGGCAGTGGAAGATGGCCCAGCTACCAGGGCCCCTGTCACCCATGGGGGAGACCCAGATGGAGCTCTAGGCTCCTGGCTTGGGCCTGGCCAGCCTTAGTCATTGTGGCCATCTGGGGAGTGAACCAGCAGATGGAAGATCTTTTTCAGATAAATAAATAGTTTTATAAAAAGCTGGTAACTTTTCTGTAGGGGAAACACATATATTTTTATTTCTTGCGCTCCTCCACAAGGAGATGGTCTATTTATTTCCCCTTCCCAACATTTACTCACTTTTCCAATCTCTTAAAAAAGTAACTGGTCTATTCATGTTTTGTAATTCTTCTCCACGGCGTTTTTGTTACATTTCATTGTCCTAAGAACTTGTCCAGCTGCTTGCGTGGTCCACAAATTACATGGAAAGTTCACATTTTTTGAAATTGTCATCATGGGTCATAACTTATAACCATTTTTTAAAAGATTTATTTATTTTACTTGAAAGTCACAGTTACACACAGAGAGAAGGAGAGGCAGAGAGAGAGAGAGGTCATCCATCTGCTGGTTCACTCCCCAACTGGCCGCAACTGCCAGAGCTGTGCTAATCTGAAGCCAGAAGCCAGGAGCTTCTTCTGGGTCTCCCACATGGGTGCGGGTGCCCAAGAACTTGGGCCATCTTCTACTGCTTCCCCAGGCCATAGTAGAGAGCTGGATCGGAAGAAGAGTAGCCAGGACTCGAACTGGCATCCATATGGGATGCTGGCACTGCAGGCGGGGGCTCTACCCGCTACGCCACAGCACCAGCCCCTATAACCACCACTATGCCAAGCACCAGCCCCTATAACCATGTTCTATTTGCAATACTGAATAGTAAACAATAACTTTTAGGAACTGGAGGCAGATACTGCTCAGTGAAGTGTCTCAGGGTAACTACACGGTTCCAGCCTGGAACCCGAGCAGCTCCGCCCACTTCCAGAGCCTGGGTCTTCACCCCAGCCCAGCATTCCACCCCTCCTCCACCCTCGTCAGGGCCTCTGGGATTCCACACATAGATAGGCCCTGACAGCCTGTTCCTGGACACTTGGGCCTCCTTGTTATTGATCTGCCGGGGAAGCCATGCTCAGAAAACGGGGGGAAAGGAAGAGGACTGGGTTGTAGGGCTGCACAGCATCCCATGGTGTAAGTACTGTCCCACAACCTTCCTCCATCACCAAATTTAATGTTGCCTCCAACGCTTCGGTATCACAAATACGACGCAATAAGCATCTGTATCTAACTTTGCGTACTTGGACAAACATTTCTATAGAAAGGGACAAGTCGCTTCTGGGGCAGAGGAGTCCTCCCGAGTGGGGTAGAAGAGGCCGGCGGAGAACTGTCTGGTGCCCCCGTGTCTCGCGCCCATCTGTTCTGAAGGCTGCAGGAACAGGGCACCGTCCAAGAAGCAGCGAGCAGCCCTTACCAGGCACCGACTTTGCCCACGTGTTGATCTTGCACTTCCAGACTTCACAAATGGGAGAAACACATGCTTGTTAAATTTACAACTGTCTGTGGTATCTTGTTAACAGCAGGAACACACTAGGACAGGTGAATACCCAGTTTTATCAAAACTAGTCATCGAGGCTGCCGCTGTGGCGTAGTGGGTTAAGCTGGCGCCTGCAGTGCTGGCATCCCATATGGGGACTAGTTCGCATCCAGGTTGCTCCACTTCCAATCCAGCTCCCTGATAATGTGCCTGGGAAAGCAGTGGAAGATGGCCCAGGTGCTTGGGCCCCTGCACCCGCATGGGGGACCCGGAGGAAGCCCTTGGCTCCTGGTTTCAGATTGGCCTGGCTCTGGCTGTTGTGGCCATTTGGGGAGTGAACCAACGATGGAAGACTTCTCTCTCTGACTCTCCCCCTCCCTTTCTCTCTAACTCTGCCTTTCAAATAAATAAATAAATCTTTAGACTCTACTAAGGAACCGGCCATCCCCAGAGGGCCAGGATGTGCCAGGAGAACCGCACTCAAAGGAGGCTTTTCAGGTAGCAGGATCGTGCTACAGGGAGAAATTCTGAAGCTGGTCTCTCCCCACGGAGCCACAGCCGACACAGGAAGGCACCCACATTGCCGTACTCAAGGGCAAGCCTGCGGAGGGATGTGTTCTTGCAAATCCATGCTCAGTCTGAAAGTGCGCACACGGGCTATTTTTCCCAAGCTAACCACCGTGGGGGAGGAGGCCAACACCAGGATGATTTCGGGTCTATGCACACAGGGTAGGGCCTATTTTAATGGTGAAGGGTGGCTAGAAAGGCTAGAGTTAGTGTTGTTCCCGAGCACCTCCTCTGCCGTGTAGGAGCAGGCGGAGAACCATGAGGCAGCCCTCAGCGTGCCGCAGCCTCACAGACACAGCGAGGGCGTAAGATGTGCTGCCATCTCCTGGCCAAGCTGGCGTGGCAGCGGAGCCCCAGGCAGGGGCAGGATGCTTCACGTGATGAGGTGATCAGTGACAGCAAAATGAACAGATGAGCGGGGAGAGGCCCGCTGCACGCCGACCTCCCCTGGTCACCGCGGATGGCGCTGCCCTCTTCCCTGAGGTCTGCGCTCCCTGTCCCCTGCCCCACCTTCCGCTGGTGGCACACAGGGGCCGGGAGCGATGTCAGGGCTGGGGAAGGTTCCTGACAGTGGAGAAACATGTTTCGTCGCTCTCCTGAGGTCACAGAAAGACATCAGACTACTTACCAGTCCTGCTCGAAGATGGATGAGGGGGTCCTGTTATATGGGCAGTGACATAAAGGAGACCCAAAGCCAAACAGGTGTAAACCTAAAACGTTAATGTAATCTTTATTATATACGGCACATCTGGTATTTATGCATCCTAACAGGTAGATAGAATATTCTACAAAAGGAAACCCAGCCATCCAACATTTCTCTAACCAGACTTGACCCATAGTTGCATCTCGGAATTAGCGTGGCCCTGCTGTAACAGTATCATGGGAAGAACCATGTTGCCCAAGAAAGGAGAAAAGTACAAATACTAGAGTTTGTGCCAAAGTAATTTTCTTTTGTTATTGCACTTTTATTCTACATACTTAGTATGTTACAATTTAACACTGTAATAAACATTAGTGCTTTAAAACAAATAAAAACCATTACATGAAGACAAAAGACAGTAAGCTGTCCAGACTGATTTTGGGCAAGCTGGCCTCCCCGATGCTGGCTGTCCTACCCAGGATCTGTGACCACTCAACTGGACTAGATGTTAACAAAGCAGTGAAGTTAGAAGGAAACCTGTTTCAAGAACAGTAGTGCTACAGGGGGTTGCAAAATGCGTGTCTCGAGACCACCCTGTCCTTCCCCACTTGAACAGTGCACTAGCTCTTACACCATACCCATAGTTATGACTTTTTTATTTAAAGAAAAAAAAAAAAAACCCTGGTTATTTGATCCAGCAAATCCAAAAAGCAAGCTTTGGAAACTCAAAGGAAACAACTACTCTTTTGGCAGCCACTCTTCCGGGGCTGTCACTCCTGCTCTGGTGCTGCAGGGAGGAGGGATGTCTCACAAACGGAGTAGCGGAGCACGCTGCCCCTCCGGAGCCAGGCCAGGGGGTGCCCGTCCTCACCAGTCCCGCTGGGCTTCTCAAAGCTAAAGTGTCATTCAGTGCAGCTGTCACCTCGCAGCCCTGCCACCCTGAGCCACTTTTCCCATCAGGAAAAATTTTCCAAATCCTCTCTGGCTGCTCAGGCAGATACAAACAGGCATTGGAGAGCTGACGGCTACGAGCCCATCCTCCCACTCCCGCCTGCAGTGGGAACGCATCCCTTCCTCCACTGTTTCCTTGGGTCCTAGTGTTCCAAGTTACGGGGAGCTGCGCCTGGGCTCCATCCCCTTAAAGTTGATGGAGTCAGAAGCGACTCTCTTTGGTCTGAGAACAATGAGCAGTGCCCCTCCCCAGAGAAGTGAAAGGCCTGCTCCTTAGTGAGCCCCTGTCTGCAGAGGAGCACGGAGGACAGGGCATGCCCTTGGAGTCCCTCATCTCCCAGCGAGCAGTCCTCAACCCAGCCAGACTGACCCAAGGCCCAGGGCGGGCCGCAGCAAGGCGCCTTTCCACTGCCGCCTCCCTCTCAGTCCTGAAGCTGAGGTTTTGAGGGGCCAGACTGCAAGTCCAATACAAATCAGCAGGCCACGCACGGTTCCTGGGCCGCAGTAAACTGCCTTCACAAAGTCCACCTGAGGGACAGAACGCAGTCCGGGGAGTTCTTTCATGCCACGCCTCCTCCCTCAGCTACAATCCCCCATATCACCCAGGAGCACCTGTGACCAAAGCTGGAGGTCAACTCTCAGGATATCCGCCATGCTGAATGCTCTCCAGCCCTGGTGCCACCAGACTTCTGAATACCTAGTGTGAACCCAAGCAATCTTCCATACAGTACATGTCACGGCATCCCATCACTTTAACGACGATGGGTGCCATGGAACAGAGTCCATGATTAGCTGACAATGTTACAAAATAAAAGTAAAGTATACAATGATACACACACAAATTCTCCCACTCAGCCTGCTGAGTATTTAAATAACACCCCCAAATGTCCATATGTGGGCTCTGGCTGGCCTGGAGACTTTGCATCTTCTGTCAGAACACGTTTTTAAAATGAATGGTGAGGGTAAAACAACTGCTTGGCGTGAGAGCCACCCCTCAAGGGACCAAAACCATAGGGCAGGGCCAGAAAACCAGTATGTAAGAGCAAAGGGGGTGGGGTGGGACAGACACAGGAAGAGGACCCTGGGGGTGAAAGATGGACTCTCTCGTGGGTGGGGTGTGAGCTAGGACTTCAGAGAATGTTGGGAATGTGGTCTCCCAGAGGGAAGCAGAAACTCCTGATTAGAGCAAGAGTTGGAGAGTCTGGAAAAGCCAGCCATGTGAGCCCTCTCTAGAATTCCATAGAGAACAGACTTAACAGAGACCACTCACCTCTCTTGACACTAGCCCTCCAGGAAGCCCTGTCCCAGGCCCCAGGGGGGCAAGGCGTTCACGCAGAGAACAGGCTGGAACAGGCTGACCAGAAGGGAAGCTAAGGAGCTGTTAAGCATTCTAAGGCTGAAGGCTACAGCACCCAAAGCCACAGGGCCAGTCACTCCCTGGCTTGCAAACAAAACAAGAGTTAGCAATAGCACGGGTTTGCTGGGTGGCAAGTGTTTAGGGGGGCCACTGGCCTCAAGCTCAAGGCGATCAGAATCAGAGCTCAGGAGAGCCAAAGAATTAAAACTGAACTTTAAAAGTCACACAAGGATCGTTTTGCAGACTCCTTGTCTCAGTCACCTAGGGAAGCCCAGCAGCAAAGGAGCCATTCAGGGCGCACGCCTCTCTGAGGACCTGTTTCCCACAATCAGGAGCAGGCCCAGGGGCCAGAGCACAGCTGGGGGTGGCGTGGGGGCTCCCTTCCTCTGCCCACAAGCAGGACTTCCACCCCACCCGTACAGCAGACCCCCACCTCCCACCTGGAAGGGAGGGGCTGTCAGACACTGACATACAGCAGCAGAGGTGCTATTCCTAGCTAGTCATACTTCTCCTAACAGATTACAGTTAAAATAAGGTAAGAGGGGCAAGTTGCAGAAGAAATCTTGGTTAGAACTCTTACTGATCAAGGCTTAAAAACATCAGTGTGTTAGACTCAGAAAAGAAGTGTTTCTGATTTGTTAAGTTTTCAAAGGAAGCCGGGGCCCCTCCCGTGGGTTGTTCACGGCTCACGTCCCACGGCTCACGCTGCTCTCGGGTCTGCCCTGCCTGCTCACTCTGAAGTACCATGATACGCAAGCTTTCCATCTCGAGATCACAAAGAGGGGGTGAGATCCAAGGGCAGAAGACCAGATTCTGCTCTCAGGTTAGCAGTAACTCAGAATCCCATAGCTTATATTTCTATACATACATATGCACACAATGTTTTTTCTTTTTGTTTTTGTGGCCTCTTGGTGACGTAACAGTGAACCCCTCCCCCAGAAACCAGGGATCTGAGGCCCTGCAAATGTAAACACTGGCGGCACGAGGAGCAGGCAGCTTTGTTTGCACCTCTGACCACTGCAGCCACAATCCCTGGTTGTGGACAGCAGCAACCAGGCCTCTGTAAGGTACCTGGGCCCCACATTCCCCACAGTGCTGAACTCAGCTCAGCTGTCTGGGGCTCCTGACCACTGGGCAGAATCCGACCATTCCTAGCTGGAGCTGGAATCATGTCAACAAGTTTTAAATACTACTGCCGCTGCCGCTGCTGTGCCCGGCTCGTGGTCTTACACACGGATACAGTGAGTACACAATGGAACCTTCGTCTCCTCCTCGGTTCTGAGGCCAGACCGCCACATTCTTCAGCCTTCACACATCTGAGACAATCTTCTGAGGAAGGGATGGCTTGGGACTCCACTGAACTGCTGACTGCCCCCAACAGCCATCCGGCTCTTCGCCGTCCAGGGGTCCTCTCCGCTGGGGAAGGCCTCTAGCTGCCCAGCAGGTACCAATTCCTTCCTAATGCACAAATGTCAAATTCTCCCCGTGGCCACAAGCTGAGGGGGGAAGGAACAGAGCGGAAAGGGAGGCCTTGGCTCTCAGGTGGAGTCATCTAGTCCCCTGTTTGGCCGTTCGGAACTCGACGTGCAGAGCCGGTCCATGATGCCCTGGAGCATGGGCTGGACGATGCCCAGGAGAGGCCTCTTTGAGGGGTCACCGTCCCAGCAGGCTTCCATCAACTGCCAGCACTCCTCATCAAACACAGGGAGGCGCTCTGGGCGGGCCCCTGGAGAAAGGAGCAGGACAGAAGGTCAGTCAGCGACAGGGGGCCGGCGCAACGGAGCAGCGCACACAGCTCAACGCTGGGATCCTGCAGCAGCGCCCAGGATACTGAGAGGCGCAGTGAGCTCCATCGCAAACCTCCAGGTTAGAGTCCAACAGCAACAGGGCTGAAAAGCCGGAACACACTGGCATTGCAAGTGGGAAATTCAGAATTTTAGAGGAAAAAGCCTTCTTGAGATAGGTCAATACGCCAGCGCCACGGCTCACTAGGCTAATCCTCCGCCTTGCGGCGCCAGCACACCGGGTTCTAGTTCAGGTCGGGTCGCCGGATTCTGTCCCGGTTGCCCCTCTTCCAGGCCAGCTCTCTGCTGTGGCCAGGGAGTGCAGTGGAGGATGGCCCAAGTCCTTGGGCCCTGCACCCCATGGGAGACCAGGAGAAGCACCTGGCTCCTGCCATTGGATCAGTGCGGTGTGCCAGCCACAGCGCGCCGGCCGCGGTGACCATTGGAGGGTGAACCAACGGCAAAAGGAAGACCTTTCTCTCTGTCTCTCTCTCTCACTGTCCACTCTGCCTGTCAAAAAAAAAATTTAAAAAAAGAAAAAAAAAAGAGATAGATCAATACACTATTGCCTGGAAGCAATAGTCTGATTTGAATGTCTTTTCTGGGGGCAGGCATTTGGCATAGCAGTTGTAGTATCAGTTAAGATACCACTTGGGGGCCAGTGTTGTGGTACAGAGGGTGAGCCACTGCTCGAGACACAGGCATCCCATATCAGAGTTCAAGTCCCAGCTGTTCTGCTTCTGATCCAGCTTCCTGCTAGTACATCCTGGGCAGGCAGCTGAAGATGGCCAAAGGGCCTCCCCTGTGGAAAACCAGGATGGCGTTCCTAGCTCTTGGTTTTGGATTAGCTCAGGCCCAGCCGTTGCTGCCACTTGGGGAGTGAACCAGTGGATGAAAGATACTGTGCTCTCCTTCTCTCTCTCCCTCTCTATCATTCTGCCTTTCAAACAAACAAACAAAAAAAGGCTACCACTTGGGATGCCTGCATCCCACACCCAGAGTTTGAGTCCCATTTCCACTCCTGAATCCAGATCCTGCTAATGAGCACTCTGGAGGCAGCAGGTGATGGTCCAGAGGGTTGGGTCCTGCCACCCTTATGAGAGACCTGGAATGAGTTCCCAGCTCCTGGCTTTAGTCCAGCCCACTCCTGGCTGTTGTAGGCAGGTAGGCAGTAAACCAGAGATGGGAGATCTCTCTTTTCTGTTTGCTTTTCAAATAAATAAAATTAATTAGTTAGCTCATGGATTGCACAACAGCTTACACACGCATGCGGAGTGCCCCCAGTGCAGTGCCAGGGCCTTACGGGAGGGTCAGCACAAAGCAGTGCTTGCGGCTCTTACCTTTCCGCACGTTGTTCCAGAGGTGGTCCTTGCTTGCACACCTCTCAAACGCCTCAGGGAGCTTGACAGAGCCTGAGCAGATATACCAGAAAAGAATCCCAAAAGCGTAGACATCCACGGAATTGTCATACTTCCCTGGAGCAGGAGGGGATGGAAAGCGGTGAGCAGGGAGAGGGAGGCAGCAGCACCACCCGCCCAGCTGCAGGGCTCTGCGAGCTTCTTCCTAAAGCTGCCAACGTCCACTGTGTCTCCCTAAACCCCGCCTGGGAGGTGGGGCACATCTGCAACAGTCGGGGACTTTTGTTCATGGAAAAAATGGAATTAAAAGATAATTTTACTTTGGTGCAAAAAATTTTGAAATCCATGCCTAGTTTTTTCAAAACACACATTTTCCACGAACTTTTGGAAAACACCTTATAGGCATGGACTTCTAACCTCTTCTGCACTGAGATAAACTTATCAGTTAATTCCACCTGCCAGTAACTTTTTAAAGTCCCCTCATACATCATACAGTATTTAATTTAACACTTAATTGCACATTGTCTTTGTCATATACTACCTCCAAATTATTTTAGTGTTATCTGTCATAATATATCTCCATGTAATTTTAAGTTCTTTAATGTGAGAGGACAACTATTCAGTAAGGAGTTATCCAATCAATAGTCCACAGCAGCCAGCATTGTGGCACAGCAGGTTAACCCCTGCTTGTAACGCTGGCATCCCATGTTGGGATGCCAATTCAAGTCCCCACTGCTCTGCTTCTGATCCAGCTTCCTGCTAACGCTCCTGGAAAGGCAACGGATGAATGGCCCAAGTGCTTGGGCCTGCGCCACCCATGTGGGCGACCAGGAGGAATTTCCTGGCTCCTGACTTTAGCTTGGCCCAGACCTGGCTGTTGCAGCCATTTGGGGAGTGAGTCACTAGATCAAAGATCTCTCTCATTCTCTTTCCCCATCTCTGTCTCTCCCTCTCTTGCTCTGCCTTTCAAATAAATAAATAAATCTTTGAAAAATTTTTACAATTAAATAATTGGCTGATTATGGCAATGATGTGCTGATCACCCAGAGAAAAACCCAAAAGAAAATTTAGTGACCCTCATTTGGGTCTCTTTCACTCTTTTACCCACTTCTTCACTTTTCCCCATTTGCCTGAGGTTCCCCCTGTCTGGTTTCTCCCTGGCCTGTGGGAGACCTGCAGGTAGTTACTTGTGGATACTACTTAGCACTCAAACCCGCTGCCCCGAATCCAGCCTCACCTGTGAAGAGCTCGGGGGCCATGTGGATCGGTGTCCCCACAATGCTGCCCGACATCATGGCCTCTGGCTTGCAGAATCCTAGGTCGGTGATCTTGGCCCGGTTCTGCTTGTCCAGCTGCCAACAAAGCAGGATGAGAGTCACCGCTTCTGATCCCGCACGCAGCGCTCTGTTGGGCACCCACGTCCAGAGCAGAGTCGTTCTCACCGACCCCGGCTTCCAACCTCCCTGCCTCCACTTCAATCCCGTGATAGCCTCTTCCCCATATGGTGGGCAACCTGACAGCACTGATGTCTTTGTCTTTCTCTCTCTCTTTGTACACCACATCACTTATTACATGAAATTTTTTTACAATACAAACTAAAAAAAATACAGAAATGCAATCTATGAAATCAGCTAAATGCAGAATGGTTGCTTTCGCTCTCTTCAAGAGGCCATTTCCCCCACTTCAATCAAATAACAAGAACAGGTAGAAACGGCCAGTCATTAGCTTCCCACTTTTGCCTGGAGATGATGATATAAATGCATTTCAGAGACAGTGTCCTCCACCTCCGTGTCCGCAGCCCTGAGCGTGCTGTGTGGCACATGCCGGGATCCTCGTGAACCTCTGAAGAAGGCAGGCAGAGGCCCAGGAGGGACACCGAGGAAAGGGCAGTGCTGGCCAAGGCATCCCCTGGAGCCCCCGTGGCTCTCCCCACACGGCCCAGGAAAATACATCTGTCCCATTTGGCTGCTGCTCCCTACCATTTCAGGGAGATTTTTCTCTTTTCTCAAACTGCTGTCAACTTAATATGCTGTTTAAGTGTTTCCAGAAACACCTTAAGGATGCTCTATGTCAAAAGATTCTTGATAACTTAGATAATAGGACTGTGAGCCCATGGCCTTACTTTTTTAGCTGCAGGCACCCAGCTCAGCTCTCATCCCACATCTCTGATCAAACCTTAGGCAACAGCAATACCTGGACTCCCCCCAAATATCAATGTCATAAAAACAAAAAAGGTAAGGAAAACTATTGTAGATTAAAGGATATTGAAGAAACACGACCACATGGAGCGGGCATCTCCCCTAGCAGTTGAGATCTCGCATCCCACACTGGTGTGCCTGGGATCCTTCTTGCTAATGCCGACCCACAGGTCCCTGCCACCACGGGGGAAACCTGATTGGGTTCCTGGCTCCCAGCGCTGTTGCAGGCATTTGGGGTGTTACCTAGTGGATGGGAGCTCTCTGTCTACTGTAGCTTGCTTTCTCTCTCTGCCTCTCAAATAACCAAATTCTTAAAAAAATTTACAAAGAGAACATGGCAACAAAACACATTGTATGATCCTTGGATTGGGTCCTGGATCAAAAAGACAACATTTAGGACAATGGAATGCAATTGGGATAATTGGAAAACAGTAATACAGATTTCATGTTAAGTAACTATATTGTACCAATGTTAAATTTGAGTGTGATATGACATTTTAGCTTTATAGAAGAATGCCCTTTTTTCTTAGCAAATACATACTTAAGTACTTAAAAATGAAGTGCTGGGGCCAGCACTGTGGCACAGCAGGTTAAAGCCCCAGCCTGCAGCACTGGCCATCCCACACTGGTGCTGGGATACATCCCAGCTGCTCCACTTCCGATCCAGCTCCCTATTAACGTGCCTGGGAAAGCAGCGGAGGACGGCCCAAATCCTTGGGCCCTTGCACCCACATGGGAGACCTGCAAGAAGCTCCTGGCTCCTGGCTTCAGAACAGTTCAGCTCCGGCCATTGCAGCCATTTGTGGAGTGAAACAGCAACTGGAAGATCCCTCTCTCTCTCTCTGTCTCTACCTCTCTCTTTCAAATACATAATAATAATAAAAAAAATAAAGTCAGGTTTCATAAAATCAAATTTCCACATCACCATTTATTAGTTTTGTGAACCAAAACGATTTGAAATAAATGAAGTGTTATCCGCAACTGACCATCGTACAATTCAGGAGAAGAGCAAGGTAAGTGTGAGTGTGTGTGAGTGTGAGTGTGAGTGTGTGTGCACATGTGTGCCTGCCAGTTTACACAGTGAGAAGGAGAGAGTGTGAGCACTCTGGGAAAGAGGTATAAATGTGGATGACGGGTATATGAAGCTCCATTGCACCACTATTTGCACTTTTCTATAGGTTTAAAATTTTTCAAACAGTATAGGGGACAAAAACCTCAAGCAATAAAAGCTGGGTCTATGTTGAAACGCGTCCCGTCACTTAAAGTTCAAGGTCCCATCTGTCCCGTCTGCTGCTCACTGCTCTTCCTCTGGACTTCTCTTCTGTGTACGTGTACCCTCCAGAAGGCCACTCGGTCCCGGGGAAGGGGAAACAGCGCCTTCTTACCAGCACATTTTTCAGTTTGATGTCACGATGGACGAGTCCCTGGCTGTGCAGGAAGCGGATGCCCTCCACCACATCCAGTGCTATCTGCAACCGCGTCTCCAGGGTCAGCCCAGCCTTGGGGAAACAAAAGAGCTCACTGGCCACAGGCAGGGCAGCTCCTCAGCCGGATCTGCCTGAGCAACTGAGGCTTCCTTCCGTGGGAACTAAAGAGAGCACTCAGAGGCACAGGAGGATGGGACAGTGAGTGTGGAGAAAGGGGAAGAGGGAAGCAGAGGAAAAGCACGGAGGAGCAAGCTGTAGCGGAGGCAAAGCCAGAGCCAGGTGAGCAACCTCAGGTGTGACTGGGAGAGGCGCAGGCAGACAACAGAAAGCAGGCGCTCATTTCTAACTTCTGAATGGACTCTGGAGCTGCCCTGGGACCCAGGGCAGACTCCACGCTGCTTCACAGGCCTGGTTAACCCGACTTCGGCTATGGATCTGGATACCAGCATCACTCCCATCACTTTAGTTCAGGGTCTCTCGGGTTCTGGAAAATGCTCCCTCCCTCTCAGAGGACGCTCTGCAGGGGCTGTGAAACAGCATCAGACTGTGCTGCACCCTGCTCCTCCAGGAGGAAGCGGGGAAGCTACCTGGAGTGTTCGTGACTCCTGGAAGCTTGCGTGGCACAAGAGGGCTCTGTGAGAAGGGACCCTCCTGGAGTGGGAGGGCAGCCTCTGCCTGCTCCTCAGCTCCAGTGTAGGAAAGAGGCAAAAGGAACCTTTCCAATCCCCTGTGGTACCTTTTTTCATACAAGGGGAACTTCATTTCCAGCTCAAGGCTTCCCGTCACACAAATAAATCCTGCAGCAGCACATAGCAGTTCATAAAGAATCAAGATCATCTCAGTGATGTCCGCTCCAAACCTCACTGGGGCCCAGGTCAGAACGTACACTGTGCAGCCTCTCACTACCTACGACACAACGTGAGTTCTACAGCAGCGCCTGCGTAATTCTACAGCCTGTGTCACAGGCTCCCCACGTCTCTCTGTACATCACCTCCCGCCACTCCCCACTCAGGCCATCTGGCTCCAGCAGGCCCAGGGTCCTTACTGTCGTCAAACACCCCTGGCCTGATACAGCCTCTTCCTTCCAAATGCTACTTCCAAACATGTAGGTCAAGCTCAGACTCCAGCCTTCGTGAAACAGTCACTGACAACAGTTCTCCTAAAAGCTCGTGGCAACAACAATTTTCGACATCCTGTAATGGCGCCTACCACAGGGCCTTGTACAAAGTAGTCACTAATAAATATTTGTTGAAGAAATGACCAAAACTGCCTTTCTCCACTGAAAGCAGGAAAGATGGAGGATCAGAGCTGCAGGAAGGCTGTCTGTGCTCCGAGGAGCCTCGGTGTTTAGCACCACCGCGGAGGGCCGAGGGGAGAGTGACAGGATTCCAAACGTGTGCTGGGGCAAATGTAGGTGGGAAGTAAATGCAGTAAGATCTAGTGACTCCAACCAGATCTTACAAAAGCAAGAAGCTCTGATCAGACAGGAACTGGTGAAAGGCAGGGGGCAGCCATGGCTCCGGCTCCTGGCTGGACCTTGCTGGCCCCGCCTCACCTCACCTTCAGCCCCGTGTAGAGGTCCCGGTGCAGTCGCTCCATGATGAGCAGCACAGCGATGCTGGAGCCCCCGCCGTAGTTATAGTCGATGACGGAGCCATGGAGATCCACCAAGCGCTCATGCTTTGGCAGAGACCTGTGGCGAGGAGAGAGGTCTGGGCTGCAGTGTCCGGGCACTAATCCTCACAGCAGGCTAGGCAGCAGGAGGAGGAAGTAACCTCAAGGGCATGCTTAGCCCAGGTGCAGTGGCCGGGACCCTGAGTGCAGACTGAGGGCCCGAGGATCAGCCTCTCCACTGAGGACAAAGAATCACAGAATCTAAAAAGAGACCAGCCTTAACAACTGAAGATGACACTCAAATGGAATGATGGGTCTGAGAAAGTAGGACGGCGGGGAACGTGCAAAGACAGTGAAGGCCTTGAAGGGAATACATGTCTGAGCCAGACACAGAAATACTGGTCCATGGCGTTTGTGAGACCGAGGTATGGAGAGAAGGCGCGTGCTCCAACTCCCGGTACAAAACTTAGGCCAGGCTTCGAACCTCCTTGGATCTTTCCCACAGAGACAAGCGAGGCCAAGACCCACCTCATGTAGTGAAACTCCAAAGCCAGATCATTCCAGTGCTTCTCATCTGGAGGCACAACTGACTTGAGGGCACAAGGGAAGTGCCCGCCCCAGCTGTCACACAGGTACACCACACCATACTGGCCCCGGCCCAGCTCCTGGCCCAGTTTAGGTTTACCTGTAAGGCAGAGACAGTGATAAGGCGGGAGAGACGGAACTTGCTGGGAAACCTTAGTAACGCTCCTAGATGTGAATCTGCCTGGACGCCATGGAGTTATGATTATGCCCGGGGAAGAAACTGGTGGCACCATAAGCCAGCGGCAAGTGCCTAACTAGTTTAACTTACACCATCTTTGATGGCATTTTTGGAACTATATAAACCAAACAGGTTTTAGGAATTCAAAACACATCGGAAAGTGTTTAAGCGACTATGCAAGGAAGCAGCTGTAGACACTGGGATCCTCCAAATTTGGACATAAGAATATCAGGCACCCGGGACCTTCCTCCAATTCACTTTGGGTGAAGCAAGGACTCACGATGCAGCAAAACATCCTGTAAGGAACGGCTCTCCAGAGAAAGGCGGGCCAGGCGGGGGGCGTGGTCCTTCCGAACCTTCAGCCAGAGATCCTCGGTTTTCTCCAGGCGGCCAGAGTGGCCAGCTTCCAGCTGGGAGGGAAACAGGAAGAAAAAAAATGATTTTCAAGTCCCTAGCTTTGGCTCCCCCACCTGTTTTATAGGAATAATGTTTACCACAGATGGATAATTGTGAGAATTAAATCGGATGCATGTAAAAATATTTAGCACATAGCAGACTCTCAACAAAATAACTTTTCCTCTTGGATGAATAATCACATCTGTACACATACATATACATACACAAACATACACACACACACACACACAGCCCAAGCAGATAAGCAGATGCCACATAATTAGAAGCTACTATTTAAGGTGGAAAGTCATTGCTTTCAGTCATTCATTCCCAAAATACTAAATAAACATGTATACTAAATAAACGTGTATATAATTCCTACTCCTGGGGAGGCTGTTGTGGCTCAGAGGGCCAAGCTGCACCTGGGAAATCTCCATCCCACACTGGTGTCCTGCCTGCTTCTGACCCAGCTTCCTGATAATGAACACCCTGAGAGGTAGCAGGTTCCTGACACCCACGTGGGAGACCTGGATGGAGGTTTTGGCTCCTGGCTTCAGCTTGGCCTAATCCCAGCTGTTGTGGGCATTTGAGGAGTAAGCCAATGGATGGAAGATCTCTTTCTCTCTTTGTCACTTTGCCTTTCAAACAAATTAAACTTAAAAAACAAATTCAGACTCTCCTATTTCCTTTCCTCACTCTGGGAGAAAGTAACTGAGTTCCCTCCATTCTCCTAGAGCTAAAAATATTCATGTGAAATAGTCATTGATGAAACTCCTGTAATATAATATTATTCTTCAACAGAATAAAAAAGAAAATATACTGAAGATTTTTAAAAAGTATATGATGAAGGGCCATCCCGATGCAGCAGCTGAAGCCACTGCCTGCGATGCCAGCATCTCATATGGGTGCCGTTTCCACTTCGCACCCAGCTCCCTTCTAGCACTCATGGGAAAGCAGAAGACGGCCTAAGTGCTTGGGCCTCTGCACCCATGTGGGAGACTCAGAAGAAGCTCTAGGCTCTTGGCTTCAGTCTGGCCCAGCTCTGGCCGTTGTGGCCATTTGGTGAGTGAACCAGCAGAGGGAAGATTTCTCTCTGTCTCTCCCTCCCTCTCTCTCTGTAACTCTGCCTTATAAAGAAATAAATTCTTTACCAAAAAAGGGAAAAAAACAGTATATGGTGAGCAGGCAGTGGCTGCTCCCCTCTGGCGGAGGCACCTCTCTGCAGGATCCAGCTGTACTGTCTTTCCGGTATACCAACCTGCCGCAAGGAGGCTGCGAACGCCTCGTGAGAACTGTTGAGCCGAGTCCGGAACTGGCTGCAGATGCTCTTGGCCAACTTGGAGGCACTGAGGCTCTCGATGGCTTCCTGGGCCACCTTCCTCTTCCACTCCAGCGTGATGGCAGGTGGGCTGACCCATGTGATGCGCTGGATGATCTGCCAGGGTGCGGACAGTGAGATGGCTGAGAGATCAGAAACGGGAAGCACTACAAAGACCCAACGCCCTTCTTTCTTCTGGGGTACCCACTCATCAGGAGTAAGCTCTGACGACAAGAGCCATATGAAGTCCAAGGTGCCCTCAATTGCATCTACGGCAAAATCAGAACTCAGCCTAGAGGAAAGTATCAAATACGAGACCTGGTCTACGTGCCCACAACCTCAACGCATTACATTCAGTGCCAGTGAGTGTCTGACAGATCACTTTCTGAAGCTAGGAAGTAACGCTACATAGCAGGCAGAGCTAATCCAGAACAGGAGCCACACTCAGGGCTTCTGGCAACAGCAAAGCCTGGTTCTGAGAAAACACTGAGCTTGGGGAGAAGAAATACACAGAAGCTGGTGAGGTAGCCTAATGGCTCCATAAGACATCATTTACACCCCCTACTTATAAGAGCTAAACAGAGTACTTGACTATACAATTGAGAAGGCATACACCAGAAGCCTCCCAGGCAGGTAGCCCAAAACACACGGGTTCCCCGACCATGACAGAAGGTCCTAGAATCTGTCCCTACTGGAGTCACCAGGATTCATGGGAGCCAACAGGGGCTGACAACATGTTTCTCTAAGCAACCCTACCTGCTTGATTTGCTCCCACAGCATCCTTGTAACCGAGGACCCTGAGTGAAACGTGACTTCCACGTGATAGGCGGCGTTTAGGATCTGAAGGAGAACACAGGTGAGAAGATGGCCTGAGCGGAGTGTGCTGCAAACATGTGTACATGATAGTCACTGCGAGAACACCGTCCCGGTCTCAGGGTTTCCAATCTATCTGTCAATATACACAGACTGAACTCGAGCTGCCCATCTGCTTCATAACTGTTTAGGTCCTTTTTCTTCATCTCCACATGCATGAGCTTCCCTGCGATATTTCAGCTCATCAGCACCTCCCACAGGCAGTGGTCTTGTAACAGGGAAACAAAAATAACATTCAAAGTGGATTGGCAAATAATTGAAAGGGAAGTCTTTTGGAGCCAGCGTTGTGGTACAGCAAGTTAAGCTGCCGCTAACAATGCTGGCATCCCATATCAGTGTGCCAGTCTGAGTCCCAGTTGCCCCACTTTCTGTCAATATTCCTGGGAAAGCAGCAGAGGATGGCCCAAGTGCTTGGGCTCAGCCACCCACATGGGAGACCCAGGTGGAGTTTCTGGTTCCTGGATTCAGCCTGACTCAGCCACAATCATTGTGGCAATTTGGTGAGTGAACCAGCAGACGGAAGATCTCTTTCTCTCTCTTGTCTCTCCCCCTCTCCCTGTTACCCTGCCTTTCAAATAAAAACAAAACAGAACAAACAAACAAAAACTCTTTACAAAAGCAGAAAGAAAGGGTGATCTCTGGCTTATTTGAAGTTTGGCTTGTGTGAGGGCTGTGAGTGCCATCTGGGGTCCGGCCTCCTGACAACCACTCTCCGTGTACCTGTTTGAGATAATTACTGGTGATGTGAACAGAGACGTCCTGAGACTTTTCCAGGCTCTGCAGACACCGTTCCAGGGTTCCGACGAAGCTCTCGCGCAAGTAATCCACTGAGCTGATCAGCTTGTTAGCCACTGCCTGGTTAAGCCGGGAGATGATGAGTTCCTGGATCTGTCGGATGCAGCATTTGATCTCTCTGGTGCCCACTGGTTCTCCGTTTGCAGGGACAATAACATCTATGGGGCAGAGAAACAAGTTAGTCATCCACAGGAGGGGAAGGGGCATCTCCAGAAGTCAGGTGATGCCGGCTACAAAAAGACAGAGCTGGTTGGCGAGTTGCCCCTCGGCACGACCAGGGCCGTGTAACTCTCAGTACTTAAGGCAATACGATCCTGAGAAGCTTCAACCTATCAAAGAAGGGCCTGCTGGTTTTGTTAGCTTTTATGTCATATTTATGGCAGGAGGAGGAATGACACTTATTAAGTACAGTCTATTTGCTAGTTTACAACAAATCTATGTAATAACCAACCTATGTGTGGAATCTAATTCCATCTTTACAACAACTCTGTCAAGTGGGTTTTGCTGGCTATTTTTTATAGACCAGGAAACAACCTCAGAGAGGGGCAGAGTGAACACCAGAAAGGAGACAGTACAGTTAGAGAGTCAGACATTGGCATTTGAATTCAGAGCCCATTGGTTCCAAAGCCTATGATCTATGAAAAACTTCATACTTCCTAGCACAATAGTGAGAAAAGTCCAAGAGTAAGAGATTTATTCTGATCAAATCACTGAACAACTAAAAGGGAATACTCAATTGTTGTTGCCACCATGTCACTATCTTTCAGGGTTAGAAAATCTATTTTGTAAGTTGCCCGGCAAGCTCATGTCTCAGGCCGAGTTTCCTAGACGCAAAGTTCCAGAAGGGATGCACGACCCAGGCATTCCGCTGACGCAGATCCTATGAAGCATCAGCCTTGCCGTAACTAAAGAGGATTCTCTCATCCATGCGGGAGATCCACACTGAGTTTCTGACCCCGGCTTCAGCTTCAGCCCAAGTCTGGGCATTGCGATCATTGTGGAGTGAATGAGTGGATGGGAGTGCTCCCTTTTTTTTTTTTTTTTTTTTCAGACCTATTGTCATGTTTAATCCCAGTGAGAGTCAAGTTGGGAATTGATAATTTCTTTTTTTACAGAAGATCAGTTTAGTGTACATTAAGTAAGGATTTCAATCGTTTGCTCCCCCATAGAAACACAAAGTGAAATATACTGTTTGAGTACTCGTTATAGCATTAAGCCTCAGTGTACAGCACATTAAGGACAGAGATCCTACATGAGGAGTAAGTGCACAGTGACTCCTGTTGTTGACTTTACAAATTGACACTCCTGTTTATGGCATCAGTAATCTCCCTATGCACCAGTCATGAGTTTCCAAGGCTATGGAAGCCCCTTGAGTTCTCCGACTCTTATCTTGTTTAGACATGGTCATAGTCAAAGTGGAGGTTCTCTCCTCCCTTCAGAGAAAGGCACCTCCCTCTTTGAAGACCTGTTCTTTCCACTGGGATCTCACTCACAGAGATCTTTTTGCCAGAGTGTCTTGGCTTTCCATGCATGAAATACTCTCATGGGCTTTTCAGCCAGATCCGAGTGCCTTTACGGCTGATTCGGGAGTGCTCCCTTTTTAACACTGTCAGTCTCTCTGTGTCTTTCTCCTCTCTCTCTCTTTCTTTCTCTGTCCAAGTTTGTGTGTGTCTGCCTCTCAGCTAACATTCTTATTTATATAAATATAATAACAGAGGTAAGGGACCATAATTAAGTAAGTGATTTTTCTCAGAAAATACTGTTTTAGATTATAAATTTCCTAAAATTAACTTCATATGTAATTATCAATGCTAGACTACCTAAAATGTAATGTACTGGAGTGAAATGAACATTTTGAGATCGACGACTGTATACAGTCCTTGTCTCTTCTGTTGGGGAACAGTGTTTTTCTCTTCATACTATTAGTTGAACTTTTTACTAGGGTAGGGTTAACCTTACAATCATTAAGTAATCTGAGAATAGACCTCTAAGATTTAAGAATGGGAATAGGGGCCGGCGCCGTGGCTCACTAGGCTAATCCTCCGCCTTGCGGCGCCAGCACACCAGGTTCTAATCCCGGTTGGGGCGCCGGATTCTGTCCCGGTTGCCCCTCTTCCAGGCCAGCTCTCTGCTGTGGCCAGGGAGTGCAGTGGAGGATGGCCCAAGTGCTTGGGCCCTGCACCCCATGGGAGACCAGGAGAAGCACCTGGCTTCTGCCATCAGATTAGCGCGGCGGCCATTGGAGGGTGAACCAATGGCAAAGGAAGACCTTTCTCTCTGTCTGTCTCTCTCACTGTCCACTCTGCCTGTCAAAAAAACAAAAAAACAAACAAACAAACAAAAAAAAGAATGGGAATAGGAGAGGACAAAGAAGGGTTCAGCATGGGTGGGAGGGAGGAAAGGGTGGGAAGTATCACTATGTTCCTAAATCTGTATATATGAAATACATGAAAATTATATAACTTAAATACATTCTTTAAAAATTAATAAAAAGAGAGCTGGCGCTATGACGTACTGGGTGGGTCCGCAGCCTGCAGTGCCAGCATCACATTAAGGCGCCAGTTTGAGTCCTGGCTGCTCTACTTCCAATCCAGCTCTCTGCTGTGGCCTGGGAAAGCAGTGGAGGTTGGCCCAAGTCCTTGGGCCCTTGCACCCCCGTGGGAGTCCCAGAGGAAGCTCCTGGCTCCTGGCTTCAGATTGGCACAGCTCTGGCCATTGTGGCTAGTTGAGGGGTAAACCAGTGGATGGAAGACCTTCTTTCTCTCTGCCTCTCCTTCTCTCTCTCTGTAACTTTGACTTTCAGATAAATAAACAAACCTTTATAAAATGTTTTAAAAAAAGAAAGCTCTCTAGGGAAAAGGCAGGATGTAGAAGAATATATGAATGTGAACTGGATCACTGGGGGTAATACCCTCCCACCTGAATTAAGGGCCATATGGGTGTCAGTTTGAGTCACTGCTCCATTTCCAATCCAGCTCCCTGATAATGCACCTGGGAAAGCAGCAGAAGATGGCCCAAGTGCTTGGGCCCCTACACCCATGTGGGAGACCTGGAGGAAGCTCCTAGCTCCAGCCATTTGGAGAGTGAACCAGCAGATGGAAGATCTCCCTCTCTCTCTGTGTGTCTCTCTTCTCTCTCTGTTACTCTTTTAAATAAATAAACAAATCTTTAAAATAAAATAAAAACAAAAACCACTAGAGAATCTGGCTGTACAGGGTAAGTATTAGCGCTCCTCTAGATCTACAAATCCTTGTCTTAAGGATAAGCAGAAAGGCCGAGAACAAGTAAGAGTCAGACACAGTTGTGCCCAATAAGCAGCCATCTAGGTAAGCGGATCCACAAGTCCACAATGAAGTTAACAGAGCCAGACATTTGATCTCCTTGTCCCCAGTTACTCCCATGCCTGTCCAGCTAATCACTATATCCAGGCACCAAACACAGTCTGCAGGACACAAAAGACCAAATCAAATATTCCTCTTTTAAAAAGTTAATTTGTTACTTATTTATTTGAAAGGCAGAGATAAAGGGAGAAAGAAAGAGGGGAGAGAGAGATGTATATTCCATCTAATGGTTCCCTTCCCAAATGCCTCCAATAGCCAGGGCTGGGCCAGTCCAAAACCAGAACTTGGAATGTACCAGGTCTTCCATGTGGATGACAGGGACCCAAACCCTTCAGTCAACATCTGCTGCTTCCCAGGGCACACATTAGCAGGGAGCTGCATTGAAAGTGGAGCCAGGACTCAAACCCAGGGGCTCTACTATGGGATGTGGGCATCCAGGCAGCATCTTAACCACTGTGCCAAACATCTGCCCCCAAATAGTCTACTGAATGCCCCTTTTGTCATGTGCGCTATGACGCTGGCATTGAGTTCCGGGGTCTTTAATTAAATATTGAGAAAACTTCTTTGGATTTCTACTATAGATGAGCATTCCTCAGCAACTCCTCCCTGTAGTGGGAACTCACAGGAGGTATATTCAGTTTTTTTTTTTTTTAATTAATTAATTAGGGGCTGGTGCTTTGGATCAGTGGGTTAACGCCCTGGCCTGAAGTGCCAGCATCCCATATGGGCGCTGGTTCTAGTCCCGGCTGCTCCTCTTCTGATCTAGCTCTCTGCTATGGCCTGGAATAGCAGTAGAAGATGGCCCAAGTCCTTGGGCTCCTGCACCCAGTGGGAGACCTGGAAGAGGCTCCTGGCTCCTGGTTTCAGATTGGCTCAGCTCCAGCCATTGCAGCCATCTGGGGAGTGAACCAGTGGATGGAAGACCTCTCTCTCTGTCTCCACCTCTCTCTGTAACTCTTTCAAATAAATAAAATATATCTTGAAAGGCAGAGGTACAGAGAGGGAGGGACAGAAAGAGGGGGTAGGGGAGAGAGAGAGAGATCTTCCATTAACAGGTTTACTTCCCAAATGGCTGCAACAGCCAGATCTAGGCCAGAACAAAGCCAGGGGCCAGGAACTCCATCCTGGTCTCACACATGGAAGGCAGGAGCCCAAGCACTTGGGCTGCCTTCTGTACCTTCCCAGGCACATTAGCAGGGAGCTGGACTGGAAGCAGAGTGGCCTTGAGCTGGTGCTCTGATATGGGGTGCCAGTAACACAAACGGGGGACCTTCTGCACCACAGAGCTGGCCCCTCTTGGTTCATTTTTAAAAAGACGTATAAGAAATCAGGCATCCTATGCTTGCTAAAGTCAGCTCTATTTCCTTTGTGTTGATCAGTGTGATGTAGCCGAAAACACCATTCCCACTCACTCGTTCTCCAAAGATGTACTGGATAGAAGAGCCTGTGCTATTTGCTTCAAGGGACAGGATGGTGAGTAAGCCCCAGACCCAACTCCCCTACAACTCCAGGATTTTAGAAAATAGCCAGAAGAACATAAATAACCATTATGAAAGTGGAAGGTGAGCTAGGCCAGAAACAAGTTACAGATGAAAGGCTGTGGGAGTTCAGAGGAGTATTTGTGGGAGTTGTCATTTGTCCAGAAAATTAAATACTTCATGAAAAACAGCATCTGGGAGAGGCCTCCATAGGTAGGCAGGATTTGGAAATTCACAGACAAATAAAAGACATTTCAAGGTTTTTTTATGATTTATTTTATTTATTTGAAAGAGAGAGGGAAAGACAGAGAGGGAGAGATATCTTCCATTCACCGGTTCACTCCCCAAATGACTGCAATGGCTGGGGCTAGGCCAGATCAAATCCAGGAGCCAGGAGCTTCACCCAAGTCTCCCACACTTGGAGCCCAAGCACTTGGAGCATCTTCCACTGCTCTCCCAGGCCATAGCAGGGAGCTGGATCGGATTTGGAACAGCTGGGACTCGAACCAGTACCCATATGGGATGCTGGCACTGTATGCAGCAGCTTTATCCACTACATCACAGGGCTAGCCCTGATAAATATTTATTTTAAAAAGGACAGAACAGACCATCACAGATAGATACCAGATACAATACAACTAGACGTGGTGACAGGGAAAGAAGCCAGGTGAAGACCATGCTGAGTGAGGTTCTGCAGGTGGGTGCGAGGATGAAGGTGGCACCCAGACCTGGGAACAGACTGGGAACAGAACGGCATGGAAATGGAAAGTGGGGGCTGAGGAATCCCGCTGCCTAGACTCAAATCTTGCCTCACTGTTCACTCACTTGTCTAAGCTTAGTTTCCTCATCTAGAAAGTAGAAATAAGCAGAATCCCCCCAGGGAGATTTTTGGAAAGGAAAAAAAAAAATGATGCTGGATATCATGTCAGAAACCTGCCTGGGTCTGGAAAGGTCTTTCCCGGCCTGAGCACCGTGTTTTGGGAAAGCCTCCACGCTGATGTGGGCACATACTCACGACTCGGAATCCAAGGCTAACTTGCAAACTACTTCAACCAGCAGGTAGTCGAGCTAACATTCGTGCACAGAGGTTTACTCTGTGGTCAGCAGACAAAGTCAGCAGCGTCTAACCCTTAGACACCAGCAGTTTTGTTCAATTTCGTTAATAGCCATTTGGGAAGAACAGGGTCTGCCCAAAAAGTTAAAAACATTACTTGGGGAAATCCTCCTAGATTGGATTTCAGAAGCAGCATAAAAAGAAAATGAGGGGTGGTGCTGTAGTGTAGCAGGTAAAGCCACAGCCTGGGATGCCAGCATCCCATGTGGGCACTGGTTCAAGTCCTGATTGCTCCACTTTTTTTTTTTTTTTAAGATTTATTTATTTGAAAGTCAGAGTTATACAGAGAGAGGAGAGGGAGAGGGAGAGGGAGAGAGAGACAGAGAGAGAGAGAGAGAGAGAGGGAGGGAGAGAGGGAGAGCCAGCCTTCCATCCAATGATTCACTCCTCAGTTGGCCGCAACGGCCGAAGCTGCACCGATCCGAGGCCAGGAGCTTCTTTCAGGTCTCCCACGTGGGTGCAGGGGCCCAAGGACTTGGGCCATCTTCTATGGCTTTCCCAGGCCATAGCAGAGAGCTGGATTGGAAGTGGAGCAGCCGGGTCTCGAACTGGCGCCCATATGGGATGCCCACACTGCAGGCCAAGGCATTAACTTGCTGCGCCACAGCACTAGCCCCTGCTCCACTTCTGATCCAGCTCTCTGATAATGTGCCTGAGAAAGCGGCAGAAGATGGTACAAGTGCTTGCGTTCCTGCCACCCACATGGGAGACCAGACAGGGTTGCAGGCTCCTGGCTTTGACCTGGTCCAGCCCAGCCATTTGGAAAGTGAACCAGTGGATGGAGGATCTCTTTCTCTCTCTGTCTCTGGCCCTCTCTCTGTAACTCTGCCTTTCAAATAAATAAATCAGTCTTTAATAAACACTTGCCATGCCGAAGGAGCAAGGATTAAGGCATGGCTTAGCAACATTCTTCAAAGCATTTCTTCTCCAGCTCCTTGAGGTACAGAAAATGAAGATTAGAGAACTATTAGGATGAATTTACTGAAAGCTGAGCTAATGGGCCTCTTCAGGGAAGTGTCTGACAGCAAGGCCAGGCCCCCTGAGCTAAATGTTTTAAAATGGGCTCCTGCTGGTAACAGGGAGGCAGATGACATTACCCTGAGGTCCCTTTAACCTTAAGAGTCAATGTACTCAATTTCCAGCTAGAAAAAGAGCACTAAAGACTCCTGCAGCCCCAGGACCCAGCCACGCTTTCGGGAGCCTACCTTTAAACTCCATGTTGGCAGCATCGTCTAGAAGCTCCTCCTTCATGGTGTTCAGCGTCTCAACAATCATATCCTTCATTTCCTCCTGCTTCCGGTTGGCAATATTCATGAGTGATTCATATAACTCATTCTCCTTTTTTCGAGTGTATTCCAGGCGTTTGGGAGTGATCTGCAGGTCCCGCTGCATGTCAAAGGCCTGGTTAATGAAGACGTCGAGGCAGTGGCAATGCACCAGGTTCAGGGCCGTGGCTGCGTCCACCAGGCGGGTCTGTAGCACCTGGTGAGAGAACGTGCTCAAGTGTCGCAGCTTCTCAGTTTGGTCCACCAGCATGCTCTGGGGTCTCACGTCCTGGCTGGGGGACACACAGTTCCAGGCACTGCTGCTGAGATAGCCCAGGTCAGTTAGCTGGCGGTAAAGTGGTGCTCGCTCGCCCTCCGTTCTGCTGGAGGCGTCTATTATCTCCGGCTTTGGCACTTTGAAAAAGAACACGGGAAAGGAGAAATACTTTCGGATTTCCTGAAGCTCTTGCTCGTCCCTCTCGGAGAGTTCATCCTTGTGGAGCGCATAGGTTATCACAGGCAAGAAATCATTCACCAAGTCACCCAGAACATCCACTGTGGGCCGGAGGCCTTGGCACGGTGCTACCACGACATCCACTTCCTGGAATGGGAAGGGGGTCACATCAGCACCTCAGGGTCAGAACCAAGCCTTGCCTCCCCACAATTCTACAGAGACCAAAATCCGCATCTATAATGGCGCAGTTAGACTTCAGTATGCCCCAATTATCTGTCCACCTCCTTGCCTGGTTAGCAACATACCCTGGAGGAGCCTATGGAGGCAGGCACTCATCCAGAGACACTAAAAAAAAAAAAAACCAACCAATTAAGTGGAGAGGATGGCAGTCCCTTTAGCCATTTCAGATAGAAAGAATATTTGGTCCCAGCCTTTCCTTGTTACTTGGGAATTCCCACTGATTCCCTTTGATGAAGAGCTAAGACAAAGAGTGAGAGAAGGTAACTGTCAGGAAAATTATCAGACTGGGGATGAGTCTGCTGGGAACATTCCTTCCCCTCCTGAGCCCTCCCCAAACATCCCATCCCCACTTTTCTGAAGATTTATTTATTTATTCGAAAGCCAGAGTTACAGAGAGAGAAGGAGAGGCAAGAGAGAGAGAGATCTTCCATCCACTGGTTCACTCCCCAATTGGTCGCAACAGCTAGAGCTGCGCCGATTGGAAGCCAGGAGTCAAGAGCCTCCTCCAGGTCTCCCATACGGGGGCAGGGGCCCAAGGTCTCAGGTCATCCTCCAATGCCTTCCCAGGCCATAGCAGAGAGCTGGAATGGAAGTGGAGCAGCAGGGATTTGAACTAGCGCCCATATGGGATGCTGGCACTGCAGGTGGCAGCTTTATACACTACACCACAGAGTGGGACCTCCATCCCATCCCCACTTTTCTAAGCTGGCTCACTCCCAGGCATCTTTTAACTCTCAATGTGCATGTCGTGGCATACCCCACAGAGACCTTCCCAGGACACAATCCTAAACACTCTTTAATTCCTCCTTCTTCATGTTCATCACATTTTTAATTTACTTATTTACAAATTCCACTGAGGGCAGGGACCACATCTACCTTGTTTATTACTGCAGCTGTAGTGCCTTCCACATAGTCAATCTCAACCTTGTGGAGCAAGCAAACTAGAAGCCCCGTTCACCAAATACAACTGTCCTATTCAAAGAGTCTGCAGGTGGCCTCTAGTCTCAGCCATGTAAGCCTCTACATTTTGGGGAAAGCAATGTCCTTGAGAGATAGGGGCTGCCAATATGTGGGTGGGGCTTCCAGGAAAGCTCTTTGGGGAGGGTTGAGTCTAGCAGGAAGTACGCCCTTCAGCCTTGCCCTTCTTCTTTCCTGGGGTGCAGATGTGACAGCTAGAGCCACAGTGGTCATCCGGAAGACCTTGGCAAACCTGAGGGTAGAAGTCAGCACTAAGGATGATGAAGCAAAAAGAGAGGATCCTGGGTCCCTGAAGACTGTGGAGCTGCCCCACCAGCCATCAGCTGACCAGCTTCAAACCTTTTTATGTGAAGGAAAAGAAATTAAAATTATCCCATTTTCTATAAGCTCCAGATTTAGTTGTTTGTTTGTTCTTTATGATCTTTTACACACAACAGAACCCACTCCTAACTGATACACTCAAGTTCCTAAAGTGAATTTCCTGGCCAGTGCTGTGGTGCAGTGGGTTAAGGCCTTGGCCTCCAGCACCAGCAACCCAAATGGGTGCCAGTTCAAGCCGCAGCTGTTCCACTTCTGATCCAGCTCCCTTCTAATGCTGCCTGGGAAGGCATTAGAGGATGGCCCAAGTCCTCGGGGCGCTGCACCCACATGGGAGTCCTGGAAGAAGCTCTTGGCTCCAGGCTTCGAATCAGCTCAGCTCCGGCCATTGCGGCCATCTGAGGAGTAAGCTACTAGATGGAAGACCTCTTTCTCTCTGTGTCTCTACCCTTTCTCTGTAACTCTTTCAAATAAATAAGTAAATAGGGGCTGGTGCCGCGGCGCAGTAGGTTAATCCTCCACCTCTGGCGCCGGCATCCCATATGGGTGCCGGTTCTAGTCCCTGCTGCTCCTTTTCCAATCCAGCTCTCTGCTATGGCCTGGGAAAGCAGTAGAAGGTGGCCCAAGTCCTTGGGCCCCTGCACCCACATGGGAGACCAGGAAGAAGCTCCTGGCTCCTGGCTTTGGATTGGCACAGCTATTTGGGGAGTGAAGCAACGGAAGAAAGACCTTTCTCTCTGTCTCTTCCTCTTATGGTCTGTAACTCTACCTCTCAAATAAATAAATAAAATCTTTGACAAGGAGAAAAAAGAAAATAAAATGAATTTTCAGAACAATCTTTGATTTGTAAATAAACCTCCCCAGGTCTGTTTCCCAGCCTGTGATTTCTGCTTCTTTTCTGAGCAGCTCCAAAGCACGGAGGACATGTACTTCTATCCACCGCACAGGCTGTTCCTCTACCTATGAGACTCTCCACTGTGGCTGGCATTCCAGAGGAAAAGGGTAGACTGGGGACTCAAACCTGCATCACCACCACAGGCACGCAAACTCCTGCTGTCTCAAAAGCAATCCTGCAGAGAACTCTTGCATATTTTCAAAGAGTTTTAAGAGAACTCAACATAAATGATTAAGTTTATGTCCCTAGGTTGAATATTTCCTTTATCTGAATTATAAAACATACACAACCTTGTTTCTTCCCTTCCAGGTTCACATTCTGTTTGCATCCATTACCTTATGTGAGCAGCAGAGATCTGTGATCAGAGAATTTTAAAAATAACACCTGGGACCTTTTCTTTTTGGACATTCTTCTCTAGGTAAATCAGAAAGGACCAAGAAATGTCAGCCCACCATACCTAGGATCTCTTTTCCACTGACCCTGAGACTTGGTGTGTTCTGTTTGTTTTTTAATCTTTTCCATTTGTAGAAAATCACAAAGGTCTGACCTTCTTTTCAACAAAAAGTAAGCTCTACTCTCAGGTAGGCCACCTGACTTTCATTTGGCTGGCCACGTGAACTCCACAACTAAAAGTGTTCCTACCATCTCACCATTTGTAAGTAGAGCGACCACTGCATAATCCGCCTACTTTTCTCCCAAGCCTAGGCCACGAGAACGTGCGCTGTTTGTTTCATCTGCGCCTAAACTGCACGGACTGTTTGCTGCTGGGAAAACCAGTCTGACACTCATCTTGCCGTTCAAAACAAACCTTCCTGCACTCCCCTGAGTCATACACGCTGCAGGATGAGTCACTTCAGAGAGGCATATTCAAAAAGTTGTAAAGAAATGGCAAGAACAGAACATAAAATTGCATAAATGCCAATGCTATTATCACATATAATAATTAGATAAAGGCTAAAAGGAATCCCAAGAGATGAAAGAGTTACATTAAGGTAGAGAATTATGGGTAGAAATTATTTTTATATTGCAAAGCTACCCTAAATGCATACATTTTTAAAAGGTATTAATCAATCAAATTAATTATAGGAGGAAAGCCTAAATATTTAAAACCAAAGCTAAGTACTATTTAGAAAATCATCAGGGATAGTTTTGTTTGCTTCTTTATTTGGTGGATTTTATTAACATTCTAAAATATACTTTCAGAATCATTCTGTGTGTGCTGCAACAGGATCATTGGCCAGAGCTGCCAAGTCTATAGGTGAAACAATACCTCTGTGAGAGTGTAGCTGACTTGATTTGCTCATACATGCAAATTCATAAAAAAAACCACACCCACAGATCCAGGGGTTCCTAACAGTAGGATATGGCCTGACATATTGGAAAAAAGCAGTCCACTCTTAAATATGCCTTATAATAAACAGCAATGGACAGAAGACAGGGAACAAGCTCTCTCTGCTCCCTTCCCCAGTCCAGGAGCTTGGGCCGTTGGTCTCACTCACTGCTCTATCATGACTGTCAGAAGACAAGCACAGAGCTGCGGCTGAGACCCTGGCAGTGGTACAAATGAGACTGGAATGTGCTATGCAATTCTGCAACACTCACAGTGAAGGGATGACTCATGCCTGACGGTTACAAACAAAAAGGGAAGCCAGCACTGTCTCCTGGAGACTGGGAGTGAAAAACTCATTTAGAGAGGATGAGCCAGAGCTGTACTGCGCCCTATTACAGCTACCTGAGAGGGAAGTCTGACCTCAGTCTGTCTATTTCATGGAAGGCTCCAGCCCTTCCTGGCAATCAGAACAATGACCCTTGCTTAGTTAGCATCTAACAAAGACATGTGGAATGCATTAATGAAGAAATGACGCTTTTCCTACTTGTTCAGAACGACTTTCAATCAGCATATGTATAATTTTCTATCTTTCAACTTTTACCCTACACGTCGATTTGGAATTGCTATTTGCCTCTATTCCAGAATGCTGTGAATAAGCAGTTTGCCCCTAACTCAAGTAAAGAAAAGGAACCTCAGGGAATCAGGATAGTATCCCACAATTCCTATTTCTAATCACAGTGAATTCCTAAAGAGATTTTTCTTGAAGAATGCATTCTGCATAAATCCATGGAATTTATAGAAGTTGATCTGTTAACCATCACTTTTCTTGACAGGATTAAGAGAATAAAACAGAAAAGAGATTAACTACTCTGCAAACATCAAAAACATGTTTTTTATTTTGTTTATACAAAATGATACCATTTTACATGCCAAGGAGCAAGCACGCAGTCACCGAAGAAGACTGATGGCTTTCTGAGAATGCTGGCTCATATTGGCAAAGACTCCTTACTTTATAGCTCCTCGAACATTACTGAACCTCAATGAAATGGGTGGACACCATGGCACAGCAGGTTAAGCCATGGCCTGGGACACCCACGTCTCGTATTGGAGTGTCTAGTTTGAGTCTCTGCCACTCCGCTTCTGATCCAGCTTCCTGCCAATGTGCCTGGGAGGCAGCAAATGATGACTCAAGTATGTGGGTCCTTGCCACCCAAGTGGGAGACCCAGATGGAGAGTTCCTGGCTTCTGGTTTCAACGTTGCCCAGTCCTATCTGTTGTGGGCATTTTCGAAGTGAACCAGCAGTCTCTTTCTCCTTTTCAAATAAACAAAAATAAATAAGTGAACTTTTTTTTTTTTTAAACAGGCAGAGTTAGAGAGAAAGACAG